TGTAACTGAAAGAAGCACAAATGAAACCGAATCATTTCTGCTGTGCTTATATATGAAAACAAAACCAGTGTGCATTTATCTTATGCACTTTCTCCTGCTTCTGCTTTCATATCTCTGCTGTGGTCTGTCTGAGTCGAGCTGCGGGGAGCCCGTGTAGTTTCCCTCAGTTAAATGAACCAAGAAGAATCGGTTCCTCATTTTGGTTTCTATGAATAATGGAGGTTTTGTTTTCTTTTCATGTCAGAGTCCTATTTCCTCAGCCCCTGTTTTGATTTTGAGGTGTTGGTGGATGTAACCTTTACTGATTTGGTTGAAAGGCTCCTCTTGGCGAGTCGGTCTGTGCTGCGTAGCAGTTCCTGCCACGACATGAAGGTCGTTCAGCTGCCGCGTGTTTCTCTCTCAGAACTCTGCTGTCCTCCACATTCAGCCCTTCTCTCTCTTTGCTGAACGTCTCTCCTTCCCCACCCCTCCTTCCTCTCCGCGGGTCTTTGTGGAGGCGCTCTCTCCTTGTCCCACCTCAGGCCCCCTTCTCTTTCCCCACTCTTCTTCAGATCCACCTCCACCCTCTCTGCATTAAACATATCATTACAGAATGCAGCTAAAAGCTACAAACAAGCCTTGAATTACAATAAGACCATGGGTGCGTTGCTAAGCAATGGATCAGTCTTGAGAGTGATGGACTGTGTGTGTGTGCATATGCTGTGTGTGTGTGCACGTGCATCCCTGTTGAGGGCGTTTATTCGTTTATTTGCTTGAGCAGAGTGACTGGTTTAATAGCTTCAGATCCTGATGCTAAGAACAGCTCTAAATAAACAGCAGAGGATTTACAGTGAAAACACAAATGGGTGGATGAATGAACGATTAGATGGGTGTGTAGATGGAGCAGGAAGGAGAAGGCTAATGAGAAGAGATGGACGTAGATCGATAGGCGGGAAGAGAGAGGCATGTCAGTAAGTCTAGGAAAGAGGGCAACAGAGGAGTGGGGAGAAAGCGGGGGTGTGATGCAGAGAGGATAGCATGTGGGACAGGCTCCCTGTAACCTTGGTAACAGTATTGAAACCTTTCCTGTGGATTGTTGAAGTCTCTTGTTCCTTTACGGCCTAAACACACACACACTCTTGTATAAAACCTTTCTGCTGCTCAGGGACCTTCAGTCAGCGCTGATGAGATGGAAGAGGGTTAACGGGAGGGAGCGCGAGGACGGGTTCCTCATGTTTATTCTGGGTTGCCTGGTTGAGCGCTGCTGCTCTCTGTTTTGCCGTTGGCCCTCTGAGTGAGCAGGATGGCTTGAAGGCTCAGTGTGTGTGTCTGCTGTGGCAGTGGTGTGTTCACACGTCTTCTGTGGCACTAGACTAATAACTGGTAAGAGCTGCCACTCGGAGTGAGAGCTGTCACTCTGTTTGTGTGTGTGGGTTTGTGAACACTGAGGCCCAACATTGTATTTTTAGCTTCTCCTCTCGTTTTGACTTGTCACCATTATAGAGCTGCTGTCACCTGGTGTTCTCCCCTCTGTCTCTCATTCTCTCTTCCCACCACATTTCTCTACCATCTAATGTACTGACACCGTGTTCAGACCCCTTCACTGTTTGCACACTTGATTGTGTTGCAGATTTAATTTTGAACTCAAATTGCAATAAACTCCAGGTGTAGAAGGCTTAAGGTAGCCTCTTTCAGACAGAGATTAAGTCTAATCTTAAAGGTAGAGAGGGTGTCCGCCTCCTGAACTGAGACTGGGAGTTGGTTCCATAGGAGAGGAGCTTGATAGCTAAAGGCTCTGCCTCCCATTCTGCTTCTGTGGACTCTAGGAACCACAAGTAAACCTGCACTCTGAGAGTGAAGTGCTCTGTTAGGATGATAAGGCTCTACGAGGTCTTTAAGATATGATGGAGCCTTGTCATTAAGGGCTTTGTATGTTAGGAGAAGGATTTTAAATTCTATTCTGACTTTTACAGGGAGCCAGTGGAGAGAAGCTAATATGGGAGAGATATGATCTCTCTTGCTCGTTCCTGTCAGTCCTCTGGCTGCAGCATTTTGGATTAACTGGAGGCTTTTTAGGGAATTATTGGGACATCCTGATAGTAAAGAGTTACAGTAGTCCAGCCTGGAAGTAACAAATGCATGGACCAGTTTTTCAGCATCACTTTGAGACAGGATGCTCCTGATTTTGCCGATTATTGCACAGGTGAAAGAAGGCAGATCTAGAGACTTGGTTTATGTGTGATTACACTATTTAAAACTCAGTCTTCGTTGCCAAGCTGCCTCTCACCTTTGACACAGACGTCGAGCTGGCACAGACACTGCAGGTTGACTACGGGTTACAGAGGCAATTTTATTTTTAAAAAATTGAATCTATAACGGTATAACGTGTGCAAGAGCCAAAGGAGTCTGGATACTTTCTGAAGCTACTGTACCAACTTTCTTGCAGGATCAGGTTTAAACATTGAGGGGTTTGTGATGCCGTTGCATCAAGCTTGTCTAATGTTTCTCTCTCCTTCTGTGCCTGAACTCGCCACAGATGAGGAACGAGGCGAGGACCGTGCTCGTCACCACGATGACCGACTGGTGGGCGGCCGACTGGAACGTGAGCAGGAGAAAGTGCTCAGGTGAGGGGAGGTGACTCGTGGAGTCATTTTCCCCTTGTGCCAAATTGTCCTAATTACCCAAAAGAATTGAGATGTGGAGATTAATCGCAGCAGAAGAACGTGCACTCAGTTTCAGTTCCGTCTTTAAAAAGGCATCATCTTTGTTCCCAGAGAGTCCAAGGAGCTGGCAGAGTTCACTCAGATGCACCCGGCCCCTCTGTCCAGCGGCCTGACACCCAGTATGATGACACCCAGCCTCATGACACCCAACCTTATGGTGACAGGGGGGACTTCCCTGGCAGGGGCTGGGCGATGGCCTCCAGACCCCTCAGCATTGACCTCTCACCCCTGGATGCCCCGGCCCGGAGCCCCCCCAGTCTGGCTCTCCAGCTCACCATACAGTATGTGGACGTACACGTGACACTTGACTGCCACAAGCACATGTTCAGATGTTCCCAAATTTGCCTTTAGGAGTCACTGACACCTTTCGGGTTGTAGCTAAAGTTGGGCATGTACTGCAGGTGGTTTTAATCAATCTGCAGGTTAAATGATAATGGAAATAACCATTGGTTGTAGCCCTGGTGTGCCTATTGCTTATAGTAGGACAACAGGATCCACATTTTACTGCATTTGTATTTATTGGTGCATTAACTTGGTGACACTGTACACAAGTTTAGTTTCCACATGAATGACAAAAGTACATGTACACAGATGTACTGCTCTAGACAGTGGTGGAACAAGTATTCATGTCCTTTACTTGACTAGTAGAGGAACTAATGCCACACTGTAAAAATACAGTAAATGTTACTTAATTATGTAAGTGTAATCTGGAAAATGTATGTAAAGCACAGAAGTAAAAGTACCCAGTGCGGAAAAACAACCATCATTATATATGATTAGATTCTTATTAGCCTAGTTTACTGCTGCGGTTGGTGTGGTCATTTTTAACTATAGAGGACTGTAACAAGTGATTTTTGGATTTTCATTAATAATGGAAATGGTGAGAAATGTGACGGTGACACCTTCAAAATGTTTGTGTAGTCAGTAGTTTTATATCATTATAATATTTAAGAGGAAAAGCAGCAAAACGTCACGTTTGACAAGCTGGAACCATGAAATCGACTTAAATACTTGTTATAGTAGTTGCCTAGACAAGCTTCAGCTTTATTTGTATTCACTGTTGAGTAGTTTGTAACAAAGTGTCATATTTTAAAGGCACATTCTCCAAAGATGCCAAAATTAGTAGCGTGGTAGTTTTCAAAAGGTGTGTTTTTCCCTTTTCTGTGTGCAACCTTTTCTAATCTTGAGCTAAAGACGGTCTGAATGGGTTCAACAGCAACACGTGGCATGCTGGCAGAGTTCTGCATGTGCCTCTGCAGCCTTTTCTGATTGGTGCAGCAGAAAAGGAGGAGTCTTCTGTCTCTGGAGTGGTTGGTCCTGCAGCAGCCTCCAGGGGTCAACATTCCTGACCTGCTCCTCCTGTGCTCTCTGTCCAGAAATAACAGCATTGGAACACACTCACACTTATGTGAGCTTACACACATAACATCTGCAAACACGGAGGCACACTAACGTGCGTACACAGCGCTCTCTGAGGGCCAGCTCTGTCTAGACACTGAGGGCAAAATCACAAAATCCTTTCAAAAGCAGCTAAATTCAGTGTGTGACTCACTGTTGCTTTATGTGAGTATAAACACTGGACGGAGGCTGCTGAGGAAATGTTGGTTTGAGCTTAGCTGAGAATTCTTCGCCTGTTTTTCTTTTTCTCAGTCTTCAACATGTTCCACACTTTGTCTTTCAGTTCACCCTTTCCTCCCTCTTCTCTCTGCTCCCATTCAGGCCTGGGGCCCTCCTCACTCCACCAGACCCTTCCTCCAGGCTACCCATCCTCTCTGCCAGGCTCCATACCCCCTCCCTACCAGTTTGCCAGTGACCCACAGTCTGGACAGCTCATAGTCATCCCGACTGAACACCTGTCACACTACGGTAGGAAAGCTGCTTCCTGTGTGTGCGTGGTCTTGGTTTGCCAGTTTTATCGCCATTTGTTGCATTTTAGCTGAAATAAATGAGAATCTTGTTCATTATAAAACAGATGTTAGTTTTGGTAATTGCTAAAAACAAATAAGACTATTCAGGGACTAAGCGGTAGAAAATGAATGAATGAAATAAGACTATTGCTGACAATGTGGCCTAGGGCTGTACCCGACTAAGGATTTCGTCAGTCGGCTCTTCAGTGCAACTGTTCGACTATGATGTTTGAAAACACTTCTAATAAAGTACAAACCTCACCTTTATGTGGCTGGTCCTGGTGGGTTCTGTTGTCCTTTTCTCCTCGTTCTGCAATTTGCTAAATAGGTCCGACCATAATGTACATCCATGTGTCGGACAGTGTCATGGCTGAAGTGGGTATCTGCCCCCCTGACCACAGGGGGAAGTATTGAGCAAACTGCTGCTTGGCACACCAAAATGAGAAGAAGACAAACTACCAGCTGTGGCTGCCTTCTGTTGTAATGCACACTGACTGACACAAAATAATATAAAAACAAAGGCTCGACTAGAAGAGTCTCAGTCGACTGACAGGTCTCTCGACTAGTGAGTCGACTATTTGGGGGAAGCCCTAATATGGTCAGTCTCCATATGGTACTGTGGACACACTCCTTGCCGGCGCTTTCCGGTTTCCTCTGCTTGGCAGCACAAACAGGACGGTGCTGTGATGTAAAACAAGCTAATACAGCTTGACTGCAAGAGCGGTACTTGTATCTCAGGGGGGGCACTTCTGCAGCGTACATTGAAAGATTGTGGACTTGCTCCGCTAATTAGAAAAAGATAAAAATGACTAATTAATATGGCCACATATTGGGTCAGTTATAATCCCTGAACATTCCTGTGATGGAGTATGAAAACTAGTTAGCAGGCTAGCAGAGGACAAGCAGAAATAGCTTAAAGCGATGTCTAAATAGTCGTAATAGTTAAGTAAAAGTAGTGATTAATGGTTGGTCCAAGAAGGAGGAGCTTGAATGCAAACAGTCTAAACTAACAGCCACTTTAAATGTCAGTTTGCTGTCAAACACTGACCCATTTCTTTATCTTTAACATTAATAATGCTCCATAAACAGTGTCCAGTTTAACTTGGGTTTAAAGTTTGCTGCACTCCTCTCTCCCCCCTCCGCTGTTCTGTAGGAGGTGATGTGCTGGAGCGTGGAGCCCCAGTGTGGTCAGGGGTGTACGGTACAAGCAGCTCGCTGCAGCACGCCGCCCAGCTCCAGCTCCTCTCCCAGCAGCAGCTGCTTCGGCAACAGGAGCTGCTCATGATCCAGCAGCACACCGCGCAGGTCCTGGAGCTGCAGAGGAACGCACAGCTAGTCGTAAGCGCACACGTGCATCAACAACCGCACACAATCCAAACCCCGTGTTCAAATAATTTGGATATCTATATTTACATCACTACATTAACATAAAATACAGCAGTCTTCTAGCCGTACACAGCGAGCAGCACAAGACTTATGTGCACATTAATATCCTTACACAAAAAAAATAAATCACAGGTCATAGAGGAATGGAGAGGTACAGGTCAGACAAACACACAAACCCACAGTGTTGTGGCAATACATAAATGATAAGGTGGATATTGTGTATTTCACTGACTGACTTCCCCGTCCCGTCCGTTGTACTCACTAGTATTTATACACCACAGTCTGTCATTCGTACTTTCTCCTCCTGCCTGTGTCTCAGGAGCGTTTAAAGGCCAGTGAGCACCAGCCAGAGATGGAAGACAAAGCAGACAAGCGGAACGCAGACCCCAAACCTCGTCCCTCCTCTTTATCTTCCCCATCTCCTTCGCCTGTCCTGCATCCCCGCAAACCTCCCCCGCCGTCTCGCTCGCCAACCCCCTCTACGTCCTCCCTCACCCCGCTGCCTTCGCTCCCCTCACCAGTGACTACCCTCAAGTCAGAAGAAGGCGGGCAGAGTGCATTGTCTCATCCGCCGACGCCTCTGCCTCACCCACCTTCCCCCCGCTCAGCCTCCCCGCCCCCCTCCTCACCGCGGCGGCCTAAACAGGAGGCGACAGAGGAAGGGGAGGTGGGACGGAGGGGGCAAAGAGCGGGACAGAAGTCGGCCTCTGCAGCTTTTCAAGGCATCTTCCCTGGTGAGTCTAGAAGAGTAAAGAAGTGTGTGTTTTCCTGTTTCATACATCATGTTTGTGAGATGACGGGCTTCACCTGTGTGTGTGCTGGGAGGGCAGAGACGTCTGAACCATTAAAGAATGTTTTACTGCATGATATCGTACGAGTCTTAGTGACTCTGACCTCTGTGTTTCCCTTGTTATGACAGAGCTCCCTCTGGCTTACCCTTACCAGTCCATAACCGCTCCGTTTGGATCACCTTTCCCCCCATATCGCATCCCAGCACCTACAGGGTCAAACACAGAAGTTGTCCCACCGCACAGTTCTCGCTCTCCACCCTCAGCTGCCCCTTTGCCCTCAGCCCGCATCCACTCAAGGCTGCTGGATGCAGACATCAAGCCGCAGAAACTAGAGCCGTCAAAGACTGGCTCTTTCCTCAAACAGGAGCATGGTGTGGAGCAGCCGCAGCCAGAAC